AGTGTGAATCAAAATTTCCCAGGCTGTGTGTGTGTGTGTGTGTGTGCGCGCGCGCGTGTGTGTGCATGCTCTACCACTAAGCTACATCCCCAGAAGAATGAGATAGTTCTTATGAAAGTATCTATTACATAACAATAGTTCACATTGACAGAAGCCAATTACTATGTGCCAAGAACAGCTCAAAGTATCATTCTTGTACTGAATCAAGGGAGCAATATCTCTTCGTCGTTCAAGGCAATGTTAAGGTGTGACTGGAATTTGAACTACTGGATTTGATTCCGCCATATTCGGCTGCCTCAAAAATATGCTCTGTGTTGAAGCTGTTCATCATTATATCCTTGGGAAACCTCCACTCATACACACTCTCGCAGGTCATCACCAACATTTCTGCCATCTACCGTCCTTCTGTTTACAAAGGGCAAAGTACCAGGCATCACCTGGTCACCAACAAAGACCCATGCGTCCTTTTCATTGACCCGCCTTGGTTGTATTCCTGGATGGTGAGTTCCTTTTCCTTTGATTTCTTCCCCAACACATTATTCAAGCTGTATAGTCACCTATATACAGCAAGTGGTATGCAAGACACATGGTAAATAGAGGGCAGAACCCTTGATACAGGAACCTGAACTGGGTCTGCTGGAATGCAGGGAGATATTTCCCTCTCTTCCTGACACTTGCCGGCCTGCGTGGTGGGATTTAGAGTTCATTGCCATTAGACAGGACCTTGCTATGCTGTTGACTGGCAGAGGTGAAGTTTCTATTCCTCTTTGGGTTCTTCCTCTTTCTCTTTCCATTCCCATTCTTCACAGCTGTTCCAGATGCTCCTCGTTGTGGCTTCAACTGTCAAAGACTGGGGTGCAGATAAGGGGAGTTGCCTGTGGGGGAGGGACCACAGTACTTCCTCCCCTAGGAGTTTCTCAGGTAAGGCACTGCCAACACTTGTTTGAGTAGAGTCTCTTTTTGTGACATGGTTGATTTGTGTTCACTAGAACCCAGTTTCTTTGTGCTTTTTATATGTCACCCTCAAGCTACAGCCTTCAGGAGGGCTGGCCGACCTCCAGAGATTTTCATTCTAGCTAGCAGGAATGAGAAAAGAGGAGGGGGTGTTTTGTGACACTCTTCTAGAGACATAACAAACCTCTACTCACCCCACACAGGGAACCAATAACAGACCAAAGGAAGGGTACCAACTAAGAACAATGTGGCGAATCAATAAGTTTTATTGGTGTTACATACAGAAATAGGGGCAAGGGGTTACTAAAGGAGCAGAAATGACTCAGAGATAGCTATGTCACCAAAGCCCACCCCAGCATGGGTGGCAGCTCATGAAAGAGTTCATTTATCCCCCAGTTTAACAGGCTGGAGAGCATCCTTTTCAGGTAGAACAGCTGGTCTGAGCCCTTCTGGGTAGCTGGGCTGATCTCCTTTTCTCCCAGGCAGCTGGGCTGGTCTGAGCCTCCTTTAGATAACTTAGCTTGTCTGGTAAGTGGGTTCCAGGAGTCTTTACAGCTATGCACGCTTGGGGAGGGAGGAGTCTAGTGAATCAGGGAAGTTTTAGGGACTTCCTGGAGGCTTTGAATTGTTTACTTCCTGTCTTAAAGAGATTCCCTGCAAGACAGAATGTTTTATGTCCTCTTAAAACATCCTATGATCTCACCCTCATGTTAACATCCTGTGTTTTAAGGAGAGCCCCTCAAGGATGGGAGGTTCTAACCTCAGAGGAAACTCCTCCACAAGGAGAAGGAAGAAGACCTTTCGTTTCCCTTTAGATCACTTTCGTGGCTAGAACTCAAAGCTTACATAGGAACCAGCTGTAAGAGACGTGGGGGAATTAGGAGGGGAGATCTGTATTTAGACAGGCACATATTAAATATTGATTCTCTGTCGATGTCAAGGAGGGTGAGAACAAAAATAGCATCACATTGACTGATTAAGATGATTAGCACACTCAGATACAGACATTTGTGAGATTTACATATGACAATCCAAGTTGAGAGAAAACTAAACAGTTTCTGGGTATAGAATACAGGCTTAAACCATTCCATCCAGCTTTTAAAGACACTTTTGAACATGTCTTCATAAACTAAAACCGCATAACAAGGAAAGCAGGGGAAGGTGAATAGAGCATGCAGGCGATGGTTGTCTTGGGTAACACATAGAGCGATAGGTTGGAGACTAGTCTAGGAATCATCTCTTTAGATGCATGCTATTGTCCAAGTCCTATTTTGTGTTTTGGGTAGTGAGTCCACAGGTGCCTATGGCATTATTAAATAACTATAACCAAAGAGAAACAGAAACACACGGACCAATGATCCAATAAGAAGCATGTACTGTGAATCTGGAACTACAATTGATGAAATTCTATATACTTTTGGCCTCTAAATTACCTTTATGTATACTATATTACATGCATGATATATGCATCTGCATGTCAATACAAATCATACTTTTTGTAACAGATTCCCAGCAACACTGTTTTTGTAATGGGGCTCATACCCAGGGCTTTGCACACGGTAAGCATACAGTCTGTTACTGATCTACAGCCTGAGCCTGACTTCCAACTTTTGAAATGCTTTTACACATCCTTAACAACCCTTGCTAACGTAGCTCACTACAGATGGCTGAAAGCTTGGTGCTTGACAAGCGGGACTTTGGGTTTAATTTTGTCCTTAGACTATCTCTACAATGAGGGCAAAGCAGGTGTTATTTCCACTATTTTTTTTAGGCAGGAAAGAAGGAACTGAGGGGCAAGGGACTTTTGTGAGGTCACATGGCTAGCCAGTGTTAGACTAGAAGGCTCCGGGTCTCTTGTAGAGTACCTTTTCCTGTGGCTCATCCTACTGCCCAGCTATTCACTGGTTACTCATTTATACTGTTCCATCCAGATGTCTTGTCCTTTCGAGCTTTGTTCACTTGAGTGTACTTTTGGGGTGTGTGTGTCTTGGTTGTCCTGTGTGTTCCCTAAGTCCATCTGGCCTTTGTAGCTTCAGAAGAAATGCCCCACTGCGTTTCTGTGATCCCTTATTCCTGGGATCTCAGGTTTAGGCATCTCCCCGAATTCCCCTTACATGGGGTAGGCAGCTCAATGTCAGGAACAGGTCACTAGGCAGTGTAAACAGAGCAAGGCGCAATGCTTGAGGAACAGTGCTGTTTAATATCCCATGAGAACTGATGCTGCATGCCTTATGAAGAGTTATCATAGATGCCAGTCTCATTTAACTGTTACTCGGTTATGAATGGACGTGTCAGGATTTTTCTCATTTTTCCAGTTAGAGGTGCTTAAGGTACTTTACTAGGACGATTGGACCCTACCCATTTTTATTTTGCTGTTTCCCACTGTGCCTTGCTGCCTCTGAATAGCTCATCCTCTTTCCAGCCTTGTGGAAAGAAACAGGTGCCGGCTGAATGCCACCAAGAAGTCCGGGGACCCCGGCCTGCCCTGTGTGTATCCAACACAGAGCAGAGGCAGGCAGGATGGGAGTCCCTTCTCCCGGAGCCACTGAAGACTTCCTCCTCTTTATCCTGGTCTTCCTTTCTCTGACCCTGGCCTCAAGCAGTGCCTTTAAAAAGTCAGGGGAACCCAGAATCGCCTAGCTCTGGCTTTAGGGTAGAAGGGAGCTATCCAGCTGCAGATGGAAGTGAGTTAACCGGCCTTCTATCCCCAGGCCCACCTCTGCCACACTGATGCCCCAACTTCTGTGTCTTCCCGGCTGGACTAGGATTATCACCACCTGTCACCACAGGGCTGAGCTCAGAGCATTGAACACACTACGGAGTGCTACTTGGAAGGGGACCACTTGTCTCCTTGGTCCATAGTGAGTTTTGCTGGGTCCTACAGCAAAGGTGAAGACCTTTTCCTTCATCTCTGCCTTCCTTGGGACAAGCATCTTCTGAAAATCTGAACAGGGAGTAGCTACTAGCAAAAGAGCCTCACTGTCCTGGGCTGTGTGTCCAGGCCCCTTTCTCAGGACAGCCTCATCTCCAGAGTCTTCTTGGGACATATTAGAGACCCTCTGTGGCCATGGGTCAGGCTGCATCTCTAATTTGTCTGTATCTGTAAGTGAACTGGTACTGTTTCATGCCATTTCTCAACCGCTCCAACAGTCAAACCCTTGTGGATCTCAGATACACTATCGGCCAGTGAGGCCCCTTTTCCCCAGAGACGTGGACTAGAACTACTTCTTACTGTTTGTAGCCTCAGAGATGAATCCCCCCAACCCTAGAAGAGCCATTTCCCAGGCCTTCTGCCTGACTAGATTAGCTCCATGAATTCAGACTCAATGAATAGGTATATCTTGGAGCGGCATGGTGGTTTATGGGTGTTTTGAGATAGTTTGCCTTAGTTGCTCAGGCTGGCTCTCTGACTTGTCATCCTCCTGCTTCAGCTTCTTGTGCACAGCAGGGATTCCAGGGGTCGGCAGTGCCCCCCTTCCTTCCCCATCTTGGGTCATTTTGGATTTACATTAAAAATATGTTCAAAGCGCAACAAGTAAATTGTTCATGATTACACAGCAATGCATTTTTAATGAAATCCACGAGGGGGGAATAAAACCTGTAAAACGCACAGGAATGTTAAGGAAATCGTTACCATTGCCTGACACCTGATGAACAGCCTCGGTAACCCCAGCACCGCCCCAGCACCCCACAAATCCCAGGGTCCATGTAGGCAGATTTTTACCAGTCATCCGTTTCTTTCAAAATAGACCTCCTCTGCAAATCCCCCGATGACCTATCTTCTAGATTCGAACTATATAGATGTTGCTCGGATTACCCAGTCGCTTTTCTTTTGCCCTCCCCGGCCCCTTTGCCTGGCCCCGGTTGAGAACTAGGATTTCCCGGTGCTCTCTCCCTGACCGCCAGCACGCAGTCCCGGCCAACCAGGTCCCTTCGCTCTGCCGCCGCTGGGCATCCTCCCCTTTAAGGCCCGCCCCTCCCCCACGGCCACGCCTCCCCGAGCCCCACCCTCGATCCTCCCCTTTAAGGACCAGCCCAGGACGCAGAGCAGCCTGTGACGCGGCCGCCGCCCCCGGGCTGCGACTTCTCGGCGCGGCGATTCCCCCCGGGCCGGGCCCCGCCGTCCCGCGTTCCCCGGAGCGCTCGTCTCCGGGGGGGAGGGAGCAGGGCTGGTGGGCGCCCGCGGCGCGCAGCGGGACCCACGGGGCCCCGCGACCCGCCGAGCCTGGAGCCGGGCCGGGGCGGGGCAGCCGGCTCCAGCCCGGAGCAAACTTCGCCGCCGGGCGGGGCGTGGCGGGGACCCGGGCCCGAGCCGGAGGAGGGGGCGGCCGCGGCCCCCGCCTCTGCGCGCGAGTCCCCGGGCACCATGCTGTCCGGCTCTCCCGGCCAGACTCCGCCGGCGCCCTTCCCCAGCCCGCCGCCTCCCGCCCCGGCGCAGCAGCAGCAGCCGCCGCCGCCGCCGCCGCCGCCGTTCCCCCAGTTCCACGTCAAGTCGGGCCTGCAGATCCGAAAGAACGCCATCACCGACGACTACAAGGTCACCAGCCAGGTGCTGGGCCTGGGCATCAATGGGAAGGTGCTGCGGATCTTCGACAAGAGAACGCAGCAAAAATTCGCCCTGAAGGTGAGTCTGCGCCGCCGTGGGACACGCTGGGACCCGGGGCAGCTTCCGGGCACCCCGCGAGGGGCCGGGGCCGGGGCCGGGGCCCGGGGGGGGGGATTCAACGGGATCCAGCCAGTGGCCACGCTTGGGTCCCGGACGGCCTCTGCTCGCTTCACCCGGCGCCGAGGACACGGTGGCCCCATCCTCTCCTCCCTCCCTCCTTCCTTTCTGCGGGCACAAAAGGCCCTTTACTCATTGAGCTGGTTGGTCGCTGGGTTTGGAGAAGTTCGCTCTCCGAGGTTTACTTAACCCTGCGCCTTATTTGGGAGCCGGAAAGTGACTTCGCTCTCCCTGGCCTCGCGAGGCCGGCGCGCAGTGGTGGGGCGCGTCGGCGCGGCGCTGGAGACTGGGGACCCCGCCTCCGTGCCCCGCGATTGTCTGGAACCGCCAGCGCCTGGCCTGCGCTGCCTCCCCCGCCAGGCTGCGCCGTGCGGTTTCCGTTGCTCCGTGCACCCCTAGGAGACCTCATCTGTAAGCCAGGCTCGGCCCAGTGCCGGGTCTGCAAGCCTGCTTTGGTCCTGGTAGCCGGCGACTTAAGGCAGGAAACCCTCTTCTTGTGTTTGGGAAGCACACGCTTCTCTCTTGGTCGATCTGTTTGTTTCGGTGTCTTTGTGTCTCCTTTTCTTTGGTAGTGGAGAATGGGGATTTCAAAAGGTCCCAGTGTCAGTCTGTCATTCGGGGTCACTACGAAGTTTTCTTCTCTCAAGGGTTTCAAGTTACACCACATCCCTAAAGGTCACTTGTCAGGATTCTGTCCCCTGGGGTGTCTCAATGATTGGAGGAGCGAACTACTTCCTGTGTTATATTTTTCTCTTCCCCTTCAGCCCACACAGCTTGCTTTGTTTCAGTTATTACATACTACACACGAGTTATGGGTGAGATTGTTGTCATATACTGTCAACTGGACTAAAACCGGGGTACTTTGTAGGGGACAAATAAGTCTGGTAGTTTCTTTGATAATGTTTTTGCTATTTTCATCAGACTTTTTTTTTTTTAAACTATAATCTCTTGCTGCAGGATCTCGGTTGTTGCTTGGTGTTGAACGTAGGGGAGGGACTGACTTTTTAATCCCTGCCTGGGATACTGGAATATTTGTACTTTTCACGTCCCTTCCCATTCGTTATGTAGTAGCTAAGTGAGGAAAGGACTTGATTGGGCTGATGTGGCTCTGACTTTGGGGACCGGAGGTGAGTGCACAGTTTGGCCACAGCTAACTGTATTGTTGAGGAAGTGACAGATGTTCTTTCCCAGAAAGATTTCTCCCTCCTCTGAGATGCCATCTGCCTTTACTGATCAGCAGGCTGGGGGACTCAGGCTGTTTATTCTCCTGGATAGTTGGAACACAATAAAAAGACTTCACAGCAAACACCCTTCTGCTTACACATACACACACACACACACACACACACACACACACACACACACACACACACGATCCTAGGCTGTCACTCCAGATCTCTGTATAATTAAGCGAAGGGAAGTTTGTGCATATTTCTTTTTTCTCCTTTGAATAGTTTTGAAAGGAAAAACCCTAGCAGCACGTTAAACAATCCTCGTGCTTACCCTTCTCTAGCCAGAAGTGGGTGAAGATTGAAGTCGGAGTCTGTTTTGACAAGCTGCCTGCTCCTAGATCTCAGAAGCTGACTCAACTGTTAAATTGCAGATTTCTCATACATCTATGTGTTAAGATTTAATAATAGAGGAAGGAATGAGAGCCAAGATGTTTGGAGAATGGCAGCAGAGCAGTCAACAGCACTTTCCTATCCAAATATTGGCTAAGTCATGATCACAGCCCTGGGGAATCTGGTTAAAAGAGATCCCGTTTCAGTGACACACAGCAGAGACTTCTACAGTTTATACTTTAAAAACTTTAGGTGCTGAATAGTGAAACAGTGTCAGAACAAGGATCCCTTTTATGGGACAGCAAGGGGAGAGCATGTAGTGGAACAGGCTGTGTTGGTGACCCTTTGGATTGGTAAGATGAGACCTGTGCTCTGTAGAGTGTACTGAGCCCATGACAAAGGACTCAGCATTAGTGTGGCCAAGCAGCCTGGCTCTCATGGGGGTTTTGGAGAAGGCTGCTGTCTTATAGCTCTGAGGTATGATAGGGAATGAAGGCTGCTCGTATTTTCTGCCCTTTGTTCTAGTAAATAAAATCAGAGCTTTAAGAAGGATCCAGAGAGTTAGGAGGAGCATTTGCTGCTCTTACAGAGAACTGTAACTCCAGTTCCAGGGATTCAGACACCCTGTCTGTCTTCTGTGTTCATGTTTATATGTTTGCTGCGCGCGCGCGCACACACACACACACACACACACACACACACGTGAAACACCCATACACACGAAGTAAAAATAAATAAATAAAGGACCCAACTGGTCCTGCTGCTTTTCTTTATCCTCTTTCGGAAGCTGATGTTTAGATGCCTTTGGTGGGTGCTGTCACCTTGCTTCATCACCCCTCCTTGCTAGTCTCTGAGTCATGCATACACTTCCAGTAGGTTAGAAGCCAGTTGAGAGGGCATCCCCATCCAACACATTCATTTTATAGATGAGTAAACCAAGGCCCGGAATGATGGCATGGCTTGCCGAAGGCAAGTGGTGACTCTTGCCATTCACTTGATGGAGGCAGGAACTGAACTCAGTTCTGTTTGCTAGTCCCAGGCCTCTCCCTACTGGTAACTGTAGAGGTATTGACAGGCATGCAGCTGGTTGCTGTTTCAGAGTGCCTTGAGCCTGACCTGTTGGCCCATTCGTTGGCTGGAGGACACTGGTGGGCGCATGTCACCTTCCAGCTGCAATGCAATTACTAAAGTTGGAGAGGCAGCTTCTAAACCATCGCAGCAGCTCTATGAGTTTTGGATAATGAGCTCCCCCCCCCCCCCAATTAAGGAGTTTGTGGTAGAGATGCTGTTTATTATTCTTTGGAGATTCAGTTATTTCTTTGGTGGGGAAACGGAGCCTCAATCCATTTGTGTATGAGTTGGCTGTTCCCCATGGGTCCCTTGGCTGGTTTCGGCTTACACTGTATCATGGTGACGCTTAGGTATTAGCTGAACAAATTTAATTAAAGCCTGCACTATTGTCCCACTCTGCTGTTCATTGCTGATTAGGTGAAGCGTGCTATTGCTTTACAAAGTAGGGAATGTTGTCATAACTTATCTCTGTTTATCTTTCCACTGCGTGGACCAGAGGAAACAAGGTACTCCAATTCTTCCCTTCCGCTCCCCAGCGGGCCTCTCTCATTAGGTCATTTAATTGTCACCGTGATGTAGCTGCTTTTGGTATCATGACGAGGAGATTAGAACCTCTCAGGGTTGGCCTGGACGTTGGTGAAGGGCAGCGCCAGCACTTTCTCCCGCCCTGCCCCCCCTCTGCAGGCAATGTCCTCATTCTGTGTCCTCACTGGAGAGATGACTGATAGTGTGGCTGCCAGGGGCCAGTATCTCAGTTTGACGTTTGCTGGATGGAAACATGAGGTGAGGACAGTCTCATGATCGTGCCGTCCAGTTTGATCCCAGGTAGCTGACAGTTTATGGAACATTTACCATGTGTTTGTCAGGGTAGAGGATAGTGGCGTTAGTGCCCTGTAAAATTATTGGGGGGGGGTCAAGAAATCTATCTGGAGAATGCAAGATTAACAGATGTCATCTCGGGCAGCACTGTCAAATACGGTAGTCACTATTTGTATATGGCTGTTCATGTTAAACGTAGCCAACGTGAAGGCATCAAAACTAAATGAAAAATGCAGCTTGGCAGCCACAGTTTGAATGCCAAGAAGATCTATCTCTGCCGTCCTTGCAGAGAAGTCTCCTGGACTCTGCTGTCCTGGGGGCTAAATCGTGTGAGCAGGAGTGGAGGGTCCTGAAAGAGGGGCATCTGAGGATTGATGATGCCAGGGGAAGCTGTGACTGTGGCAGGGGCCTTGCTGGGCCTCTGAGGAATGAGTGGGCCCTGCCAGCTACAGCCGAGGGTAAGAGCAGGAAACCAAATAGGTCAGGGGCAGTGGGACCAGGAGATCCCAGCTGCACTTAGCCATCCTCGGGGCAAACCGGCTTTAAAGTGGGTTTTCTTTTTGGGGGTGGGGCTTGTCGATGTTATAAAGAAAGGCTAGGCATTGAAGTTGGGGTGGACTTTCGGACGAAAGGATAAAATTTCTGCCTTCAGAGGAAGACTCCAGGCATGTCATCCTGGTATGGATGTGACCTCTCGGTTCTGACACAGGACCCTGGGCATCTCTGACTCAGGATTAGAAGTGCGTTAGGTTAATTCATGGCCCTTTCTCATTTGTGAATTCTGGACTTTCACAGAATTTGAAAACTCTCAAGTTAAAATATGGTCCACAACCATAAGCTGGAGAGATGGCTTAGTAGTTAAGTGCACTGTCTACTTCTCCAGAGGGACCTGGGTTCAATTCCCAGCACCCACGTGGCAGTTCACTGCTGTCTGTAACTCCAGCTCCAGAGAGTTCTGCCACCTTCACATACATACATATGCAGGCAAAACATGTATGCACATAAAGCAAAATTAAATATTAAAAAATGTGGCTGGGTAGCTAAAAGGAGAGGATAGGAGAAATTGTTATAGTGCCTCAGGGCCACATACTGGTGGGTGTCTGGGATCTGTGGTTGGAAAGACAACTGAGTTGGGGTGTTATCAGTGGAGCAGATCTGAGAATTTGGAAGCAGGTACCAGATCCAGGGTCTGGAGGCAGAGTCAAGCTCCTGTTACCTGTAGGAACAGAGATGTGAGGGGTCTGTGTCACAGGGCATGTCGGCTAAGGTGCAGGTGTCGTGAGCACCTAGGGCTGAGTAGGCTCTCCCTGGTTGTTTTTTTTTTTTTTTTTTTTTTTTTTGGCACAGCAGCCCACAACTAGCCAGCCTCCTCTGTGCTTCATACTCCCTGAAGGGTCATGTTAAGGTCTCATCCTCCCCCTCCCCCCATGCCCTTTGTATGGTTCTGTG